GAACCGGGGAATAACTCGACGTTTCGAACAGTGTACTCTGTCCGTCTTCAGGAGACATATTCAGCAACTGGCAACTGGTTTCCAATACCAGGCGAGCATCGACAAATTACTTTTAAACTTCTCCTAAAGGAGGTATAATTACTTATTAAAAGCATACTCCTACTGCATTGGACGTACATCCACTGCCATATTTCACGTGCATGACATTTTTGGGACTCCGTATGCATGTACTCAATTCTTTTACCTGCAATGGCGAAATACACGTTACTGCCAATCAGAAACTACTGCCTGGCAATTTCATGTGGTTAGCAAAAATGTCAGCTGAGATTACAAACCACTAGCAAAAACAGTAAAATTCAGTGGATGTCATTTTAGCTGATAGACGGGTAGGTTGAAAATGTCAGCGGAGATTACAAACCACAAGCAGTAAAATTCAGTGGAAGCTATTTTAGCTGATAGCCGGGTAGGTTGAAAATGTCAGCGGAGATTACAAACCACAAGCGGTAAAATTGAGTGGATGTCATTTTAGCTGATAGCTGGGTAGGTTGGAAATGTCAGCTGAGATTACAAACCACAAGCACAAGCAGTAAAATTCAGTGGATGTCATTTTAGCTGATAGCCGGGTAGGTTGAAAATGTCAGCTGAGATTACAAACCACAAGCAGTAAAATTCAGTGGAAGCCATTTAGCTGATAGCCGGGTAGGTTGAAAATATCAGCTGAGATTACAAACCACAAGCACAAGCGGTAAAATTGAGTGGATGCCATTTGAGCTGATAGCCGGGTAGGTTGAAAATGTCAGCTGAGATTACAAACCACAAGCAGTAAAATTCAGTTGAAGCCATTTAGCTGATAGCCGGGTAGGTTGAAAATATCAGCTGAGATTACAAACCACAAGCACAAGCATTAAAATTCAGTGGATGTCATTTTAGCTGATAGCCGGGTAGGTTGAAAATGTCAGCTGAGATTACAAACCACAAGCACAAGCGGTAAAATTGAGTGGATGCCATTTGAGCTGATAGCCGGGTAGGTTGAAAATGTCAGCTGAGATTACAAACCACAAGCACAAGCGCTAAAATTCAGTGGATGCCATTTTAGCTGATAGACGGGTAGGTTGAAAATGTTAGCTGAGATTACAAACCACAAGCACAAGCGGTAAAATTCAGTGGATGCCGATTTAGCTGATAGCTGGGTAGGTTGAAAATGTCAGCTGAGATTACAAACCACAAGCATAAGCAGTAAAATTGAGTGGATGTCATTTTAGCTGATAGCCGGGTAGGTTATACTCTGTGCTTACGGCAGCAGCACTTCATTGAGGACACCGTTGACGTTTGTCGGATGTGCAGCGTGACCTCGTATCATGTAATTACTGAACTTTGTAAGTGTAAGATTTCATATAAACTCTTCCCAATTACACGTTCTTAAGAATTCTGTTCAATCATCCTGTTTCGAAATCAAGATCCTTCATCTGAACACCAGAGGACACTGACTAATTGTGATGCCCCAGAGGAAGGTTTAGAAATAGTCAGCAAATTATTTAAAATTGTAGAAAACAATTTAATTTCACCTTTTGTGTATCCGTCTGCAGTGTGTCCATGTAAATTTACGGCCTGGCCGATTCAACTACTTCTTTTTCTCTCCACCAGATTCAACTACTTTCATGTTCTTACCTCTCTTTTGACGTCACAGTAATGTTTTGCCTACAAGTGGCTGCTAAAACTACAGCTCTCAGTACAAAAGTAAAAGAAGAATTCACAAAGTATTAAAAGTCCACACAGCTATCAAAATACCATATAACACACGTACGCATATTTGCTACATGAACATACAACCCTATTTAAAATCAAAGGGACAAATGTAAATTTTGAACGAATTTGAGGTACAATTGAAAACCAACAAAAGTTGATATTTATGTAAACTTTGGTAAAATGAGAGTGGTCTATGAGCAAAGTGTCTTTAGAGTGACGCATTCAGGACCCATTAGCTCGCTTTTGAAGATGGCTGGTCTACCATCCACAAAGTGTCTCACCTGGAAACATAAATTAACTGACTTGCCAAATAGATCCTGCAAGTTAAGTCAAAGGTCACGCAGCGAGCTATATAAGAACCCTAATCGGAGAGCCCCCACCTATGGCGATTTTATATGAGGCTGCCCTGTAATTTCTATCATTTTTAGAAGAATGATTTCTGACTAAAGCCACCCCAAGAAACACTCATGTCAAAATTTTATCTTTGTGTTCTTTTAATAATATTGTTGAAAAGTCACCTGACGATGGGTAAAAATAAATTTCATCATCAACCTTTCACTTCCAGCACTGGCCTCCCTAGGTCTCCTCGAATGTGTATGTTTATCTTCAATTCAGTACTTACGCGAGAACGTTGCTCAGATTTAATTTGCCTACAGGCAACGGGTTCTGGGCTGGCCTAATGTGGTTCTTTTCAGCAAGGAATAGATTAGATTTGAAATTTTTCATAAATGCTGATTATCTCTTTGAGTTGATTCACTGTAATTGTAAATAATTGTAAACTGCTAATTTTGGTCTCCTGTCTAAAGTTTTTATCTATAGACAGCCATAAAATAATTTTGTTTGTGAACATTCACGTAAGAGTACACGCAACTGCACTGGTCGACATGTATTTTAGATTTTCGGAAGTGTGAACTCATGTTTTGGCATATATGTCTTTTTCGGGTCAGGCAATTTTGCAGTTTCTAGAAATTAATATGCTAGGAAATATTTTACAAATGCCCTTTTCAGAGGAATTTCTTTGAAGAAATAAATGACAAAACATAACCGCGAATTTTGGAAGGTTGGTTTCTTATCCAAGGGTTCCGGAAGTGCGCCATCAGGGGTCCACTTCCAAGCTCTATTCTACTCTGAGTGCAATATACTATAGAACAATTTACTAAATACGCGGAGCTACCTGAGTTGCCGATCGATAATCTGATTGCTGCTTCCATATAACTTTTTTCTTACGCCTTTGCTTGAAATGCCCCGCGCTTGTCTCGCTACATAATGTGTTTGTCGGGGCCAGGTGTGACCTGGACAAAGTTCAAGTGTTAGGAATAATCTACAGGGACATTAAATCAATGACCAGGAACATATTTAAGGGTGGCCCCTAAAAACTTAGAACTGAGGAACGGTTAGATCATCCCAGAGAGGCAAAGTAGGCCTACACGGCAGCGGAAGAAATCGTTGACCAACGTCATTCAGCAAGATTCTAACGCCACTGCTCTTTCTTTTTACACTTTTTAGAAGAATGCGTTTTGGTTCGCTACACGCAACAACAAATCGGGAGTACATGATTCACTTATTTTGGAGATGACAAAAATATTTATTTTTCGTCATTTCGAACCGGCGGTAAACCAACTCCAAACTCGTTTGGTCGGAACTATGACGTGACACAGGCACGACCGAAGTCGCGACAACACTCAACCAACGACCAAGCCAGAAACAAGTTTTAGGTCGGGGTCTCGAACTCATCCAACTCTCTGGATAGTAAAGCAGGCATTGTCTCCCCCATACACCAGACGAGTAAAGTGTTTTTGGATCCATTTAAAGTAATGCAAGGTCATTCCTATGATCAATGGGGCAGTAGGCCGAATCACACCCATGTCCTAACTGGCATTACGCCAGAGGCTCTGTTCTCGAAAAATCCTGGGCTCAGTGCGACCGCGGAAAATTTCCTGTGGTTCAATAATTCACAGGGTACAAAGTATGCGGGGTTGTATCAGCTAAGGTTAATAAGAGAATTCTAACGAAGGCTAAAATGGGACGACCAAATGGCCTTACAAAATAATCCGACAAGTGTAATTTTTTTCCTAGGAAGGTTAGGGGTAATTATCATATACGCGGAAGTGGTTAACTGCGAGCTAGTAGACACTTACCAACTTCAGTGCTAAGGTAAATGTGGGGCTTTACTTTCCAATTATAGAAACATCTACCAACCAACTAATTCCCAACCAAGAAAAAAATTAACACATAGAGAATCAAACTCTTGGTTTGTTGGTTCTAAGTATAACGCTCCTCTAACAGAGCTACCATGCAAGTCGGCCGGAAGAGCAGTTTGGTTGTGTCTTATACTTAAAAGTTTGTGTATCCCATTTATGATAACTGCCCCCAGTTTTCCTAGACGAAAACGCAACGGTTAAGATACGCCCATTCTATTATAATTACCCTAACCTCCATAGGAAAAAAATATGCATCCCACAAGCTGTGTCTAGATATTCGTGTCAATTCAGTACAGCCGGTAAAGGCAACATAATTACCAAAATATACTATCAAACACTGCTTTCCATGTTTTCCATAACAAGAAGCGTATGTAATGTATATGACTACTGCTTTGTGCATTGTTAAAGTGCTAATGATGTCCGTACTATTCTCAGTTTTTCATCCGGAATTTCATCTCGGAGGTTCTCAGCGAGTAGTAATAGCCTTTCCACTGGTACCATACCACTCCCTTGCCGTAGCTGTCCGTGTTACCGCCCAGGTAGTCTCCATTCAGCGAGGCATAGTAACAACTGTTGTGCCACCATGCACTGTGGTACTCCTTCGCACAGTTCTTGGTACCCCAGTTGTCGTTATCGCGGTCCTTGGTTGTGAAGGGTTGGTTGTCATGATTGGCCATCGCATCACCTGAAAGAGACGATGTGCGCACATAAAGTGTCAAGTCACAAATTTGTAGCAATGTCTACTTGTATGGACAGCTAAAGTTTGCAGAAATATCCTTAGTTGGTGTCAGGTTTTCCTTATTACATTTGCCCAATTAGGTTGGCATTTTCAGTTTAGTAGTAGATGTAGTATTTTTCATTGCGTTTTATAGCTGCGTGCACTTTTAACATTTTGTTTGATGGATTGAAGAGCACGATTATTGTAATTGGTTGCAATATTACGTCCATCAAACTAGCCAGCTTTAAGAAGTTTGTTTTGTACATGGATCTTACTGATTAAACACTGATTAGGCCTACCCTATTTAATCCGTCTGCGGGTTTTCATCTGCTTCTGCCAGGATTTGGTTTCGGAAACAATACTTCTTTAACAATGGTTGCTCTATCCACCCTAATAAGCGAAACCGGACATGTGATCTCCTTCCACCTCAGAAGGATCATATTCTATTCGTTATGACGGAAGCGCGTGTGTCACCTACTTGAGATAAATCGTTGGTGGCCATTCATTTTGTACAGTTAATGTTCCTCCCGAATACTTCATGATTAAGCAACTGTCACACGTCAGGACTTGTAAATACAGTGCATATTGAGCAGATGAGTGCAGACGTCAAGGAACTGTTTACACATTATCATTATGCTTCTCCTTTTTTTTTTACAAACCGAGCGGTCCGTGGGCCCTAATTGCCACTGCCGCTCAACTGAGACCAGCGAGCAAAATGAGTAGGCCTACATCGTTGAGACAGGCTTGGCGGTAAGCGTCAAAGTGCGAGTGCTGAGGGTTGTTCTCAATTAAAATTCGTTTCTTGAAGACAAAATACCAATCATTCCTTGAACTGGTTTCAAATGCAGCTTTTTACAAATGGGTAACGGAGTATCGATTCTTTACAAAGTTTGACAAATGAAGAGCGTTCTACATAGCAGACACCGAGCCTAGGCCTGTCAGCCACACAGGCCCTTTAGTTAAATAAGCCACTTTCAGGCTTCGCGCAATTTAACGGGGGTTCTTACGTAATGGCTAACAACAGAGTAATATGCATGGTCTGCAGTTACAGCCTTGATGCTGTTCTAGTGTTTGGAGCTTATGGACATAATGCTGCTCCCCGCTACTGATGGCATTTTGTGTCTTGAAAAAGTCTAAATACCAGAATGATGGCTAGCTCACTGTGACCAATAATTTAAACCAATAAATAAGTCCAACCTCTCGTCCTCGTAGTGGGAGACAAACATGTGGCTTTCAAGTAGGGTATAGATTAGTGGGCTGAAGCTACGCGGGCCTTGACTCCTTTAAACCCTACGGTGGCCGTAACAACAAAACTCCAAATCATGAACAGCAGGTCAACAAGGCCCCAATGAAGGTCTGGTGGCGACAATCGGAGCGCGCAATCTAACAGGCGTCTTCAAAGCTAAAATTCCGACCTTGAGATCTATGGCTAACCCGCTGACAGCACAGAAGATGGGTTAAGTCGAAAGAGCCTGCGTCAATCCTTTCAGTCCATCCAGCGTATGCGTGGTTCCCTTAACATGGATGTATATTTTCCCCAATAAATTAGACTGATGGCAACCCATGCAAGACGGTCGAGGAGATGGTGGCCCGCTGGCAAGAACACTGCAACCCCACGCTCAACCACCCACCAGCCATGCCCTGCCCTCAACGCACAGGCAACAGCCGCAGTCCCCGTTACAGGATGTTCCGTGAGACACCCCATCCCGGCCGAGGTACGTTGTGCCATCAGAAAACTCAGGAACGGACGTATTGTAGGATCTCACGCGTTGACATTATTCCTCCTGAACTAATCAAGTGTGCAGAGGCCGTAGTAACGAGGCACTTTATAATCTCTTCCTCAAAATATGGCCTTCGGGTATTGGGCTCATATTGAAAGGAGGGACTGCACCATCTCCCTGTGCAAAGGAAAGGGTCATCGAAATGAAGGCCTATCACGCTGTTGTCAGTCCCCAGAAAGGTATTCAACCATGTCCAACTATCTCGCTTAGAATAAATACTCAACGGTCACAGTCGCCAAAGCCGTCTGGCTTCACGAAGCGCTGCTCAACAGAAAGTGCTGTGCCTTCCGATTCCTGTTAGAACTACGTCGTAAAGAGACATATGAAAAGACACAGAAGCAGCCTTCGACTCAGCTGATCGGGAAGCTCTATGGCAAGTCCTGAAAGCACTACATGTACAGTCCCACCATTCCTGCTTCATCTGCTTCAGGCTCAGCATGAGGATAGCACATGTACCTCGACCGGGCGTTTTGGAGACGATATCTCAACCCCCTTTTATAGGCCTACCACCTTAGGTGTACATCTGGGCTACATTCCCGCCCAAAATCTATTATGCCGTGTCATCGACCGGATCCTAAACTGCTGCCAGTCAGATCTCCGAGTAATAGTTGGAAACAAGCCCTTTACAGACACTGGACTATGCCGACGATACTGCCCTGTTCATACAGAAAAACACGACTAGTTTGAGCTAGTTTGAGAAAGAAACCGGGACAATGGGGAATGCAAGTGTCAGGGCCAAAACGAAGACCTAGAGCTACACCGGCCTTGGCCTATCGATCGCGTCACCTACTGTTATGGACCTGACTGTCCAAATCAAGGGGAAATTTGGGTATCTCGGCTGCGACACAGACTCCTCAGGATACTCTTCTCCCGACATTCCCCGACGAATAGACCTCGCTTCGTCAACCTTTGAACAACTAAACCGGGTGTGGCAGAACAAACGCATTAACCTCTCAACGTAGCTGAAAATATACATGACTTGTGTCCTCTACGTTCTACTATAGGCCTATGGGTCGGCGACGTGGAGGCCTAACTGAGGACGAACGAAGGCATCGAGCCTTCAGTATGACGTACCAGTGGCACGTCAACGGTGTCCGGCGGTCCGACTTTGGACTGTCACCAACACCGCTGTATCACGAGGATCACTGGTCAGAAGAGTACGTCAATCCCTCCTGGCCTCGTCTGACGGCAACCGGTTGACACGCCAGCCAATCATGTCTCCCTTAAGCTGAGCGTCGAAGTATAAGGGGACTCCACCCCGACACTGCCTGCAGGAGACCCAGGGACCGACCACGCAACACCTAGGTGCGCCAGGTGGAAGTTGACAATGGGACGCGAGCGCAAAAGCTGTGGCAGTCTGCATCCGATAGCTTCGTCTGGGCGANAATAAGTCCAACCTCTCGTCCTCGTAGTGGGAGACAAACATGTGGCTTTCAAGTAGGGTATAGATTAGTGGGCTGAAGCTACGCGGGCCTTGACTCCTTTAAACCCTACGGTTGCCGTAACAACAAAACTCCAAATCATGAACAGCAGGTCAACAAGGCCCCAATGAAGGTCTGGTGGCGACAATCGGAGCGCGCAATCTAACAGGCGTCTTCAAAGCTAAAATCCCGACCTTTAGATCTATGGCTAACCCGCTGACAGCACAGAAGATGGGTTAAGTCGAAAGAGCCTGCGTCAATCCTTTCAGTCCACCCAGCGTATGCGTGGTTCCCTTAACATGGATGTATATTTTCCCCAATAAATTAGACTGATGGCAACCCATGCAAGACGGTCGAGGAGATGGTGGCCCGCTGGCAAGAACACTGCAACCCCACGCTCAACCACCCACCAGCCATGCCCTGCCCTCAATGCACAGGCAACAGCCGCAGTCCCTGTTACAGGATGTTCCCTGAGACACCCCATCCCGGCCGAGGTACGTTGTGCCATCAGAAAACTCAGGAACGGACGTATTGCAGGATCTCACGCGGTGACATTATTCCTCCTGAACTAATCAAGTGTGCAGAGGCCGTAGTAACGAGGCACTTTATAATCTCTTCCTCAAAATATGGCCTTCGGGTATTGGGCTCATATTGAATGGAGAGACGGCACCATCTCCCTGTGCAAAGGAAAGGGCCATCGAGATGAAGGCCTATCACGCTGTTGTCAGTCCCCAGAAAGGTATTCAACCATGTCCAACTATCTCGCTTAGAATAAATACTCAACGGTCACAGTCGCCAAAGCCGTCTGGCTTCACGAAGCGCTGCTCAACAGAAAGTGCTGTGCCTTCCGATTCCTGTTAGAACTACGTTGTAAAGAGACATCTGAAAAGACACAGAGGCAGCCTTTGACTCAGCTGATCAGGAAGCTCTACGGCAAGTCCTGAAAGCACTACATGTACAGTCCCACCACTCCTGCTTCATCTGCCTTAGGCTCTGCATGAGGATAGCACATGTACCTCGACCGGGCGTTTTGGAGACGATATCTCAACCCCCTTTTATACCACCTTAGGTGTACATCTGGGCTGCATTCCCGCCCAAAATCTATTATGCCGTGTCATCGACCGGATCCTAAACTGCTGCCAGTCAGATCTCGGGAGTAACAGTTGGAGCCAAGCCCTTCACAGACACTGGACTATGCCGACGATGCCGCCCTGTTCATACAGGAAAACCCGACCAGTAGCCTATCTCACCCAAGAGCTAGTTTGAGGAAGAAACCGGGACAATGGGGAATGCAAGTGTCGGGGCCAAAATGAAGACCTAGAGCTGCACCGGCCTTGGCCTATCGATCGCGTCACCTACTGTTATGGACCTGACTGTCCCAATCAAGGAGAAATTTGGGTATCTCGGCTGCGACACAGACTCCTCAGGATCTCTTTTCCCGACATTCCCCGACAAATAGACCTCGCTTCGTCAACCTTTGAACAACTAAACCGGGTGTGGCAGAACAAACGCATTAACCTCTCAACCTAGCTGAAAATATACATGACTTGTGTCCTTTACGTTCTACTATAGGTCTATGGGTCGGCGACGTGGAAGCCTAACTGAGGACGAGCGAAGGCATCGAGCCTTCAATATGACGTGCCAGTGGCACGTCAACGGCGTCCGGCGGTCCGACTTTGGACTGTCACCAACACCGCTGTATCACGAGGATCACTGGTCTGAAGAATATCCACGCAACCATCATTTACAAGGACGTCAATCCCTCTTTGGCCTCGTCTGACGGCAACCGGTTGACACGCCAGCCAATCATGTCTCCCTTAAGCTGAGCGTCGATGTACAAGGGGACTCCACCCCGACACTGCCCGCAGGAGACCCATGGACCAACCACGCAACACCCAGGTGGGCCAGGTGGAAGTTGACAATGGGACGCGAGCGCAAAAGCTGTGGCAGTCTGCATCCGATAGCTTCGTCTGGGCAANTATACTTCTACCATGATGGATCACAGAAGAACGACGATAATAATGATGCTATGCATCGTTTGTCTTGTATAATGGAATTTACTATTCATGCGTTTTGGTATGCGCAGAGTAACAGCTATGGGCTTAACAGCGAAATGGACGGTTGGTTGCTTTCACCAACTACAATTCTGTAAAAATCTCTGTAATCTTAATTAAATTCATCTAATCTAAATTAATTCAAAAATATCTCGCTGGCATTTTTCTCATTGAAGTATGAAATACAGGAGAAAATGAGAGTTTGAAACAACGGAAATTAAAATTTGTAATTGTCCCCTTTTGTTATAGAAAAAAATGAAAGCAACAAATCAAGGAGTTCGCACACTCATCATTGACTCTGAAAATTACAGTCTGGAACCCATAACAGAGCAGAAACCGTAACTCATGTTCTCGTACCGATTTACTTAAATTTGACTCGTGTGAAGAACTTCTGAGGAAGAGGTCGAAAAATTGTTCAAACCTTAATTGCAAGTTTGACTGCGTACGTGTAGCCTACAGGAAATCATTAAAAAAGATGCCGCCTGAATACTCATCTACCAACAATCAATCCACGTGTATAATCCACAATGTAGAAGAAGTTTGCCGCTGCTGCTTGCAGGGTACGTGGAGCGTCTATCATGAAGATTCACTTGGTACTCCTCGTCACAGATTCACAGCATACAATAAGCCTTTACTGCGTTCTCGTTGCATCATGGGATGCATTTTATGCACGAAGGCCATAGGCTGAAAAATGATCGTGATTGGCCAATGCGGGGATGAATGTGCGTCGAGTCCTGATTCTGGTCAGTACCAGCTCATTGACATACGCGATATCATGGGCTTAGAAACTGGTGTTCGTGGAAGGAAAGGCCTAAAGTTTTCTTTTTCTGACAAGTTTAAGAATGTTACTTCTACAAATAACTTTATTCTAAATCTACCTTTTGTAAAAAAGCATGAAATAAAGTGGAAAGGTATATGTTTTGCTGGTACTCTTCTATCATAGGGTTGTGCCTAAATGCATTGCTTGTTTTTCATCCAGTCCAGTGATGAATTATGAGCATCGGAAAGGTTTATACATGTACGTGTATCTAATGCAGTCTAGCAATGTTGAAGGGTAGCTGCAATCAATTTGTGTTCAACGTTCAAACTCACACACGCGACGTTTCCCTGTCCGCCTTAGAAAGACGTTTTCACACAACGAAGAAGAGTACAAAGATGCAGAATAATTGTTTAAGAAAAAGTCATTGCAGGCTCAGTACATATTCAACCGGTGCTGGATGTCCAACTTCAATGCATGTTTATGAATGGGAAGAGCTATTGTTGCTATTCACCGGGGGTTTTTTGCTAGTTGGAAGGCATCTTGCCCGGAATATCAAGTGTGTTTTATCAGACTCGGCTCTCGTTAGTGTGCTTTGCGGTAAAATTTGTCAACGCCGGAAAATGCATGAATATATTGAGCTGATTTATCACAAAATGCGATGCAATACCACAAAAACGATTCTCTCGGAAATCTTGTGACCTCAATACAAGTATGAAAAGCCCAAGCGTTCTTTGCTTGCGTACTTCCTAATAGACTGATTGCGCCCACCAAGCCACGTGACCTACAGGGTATCAAACATCGACAAACGTGGTGTAATCTCATAGCAAAGAGCATCCTAAGTGTAATTTACCAACACTGACTAAATTACTGACTACTTATGTGCTGAGTACAAAACCGAAAAATGGCTTCATTTTTGGTAAACAACCACTCAAAACACACTTTGCTATGGCAGGACGCCATGTTGGTGATGTTTGATACCCAGTTTACCCACTATAGGTTATGTGCGGCGGGTGCAATCAGTCTCTGGATCACAGGATTGGCGTGAAAAATGGGCGAATGTCGACCAAGTTGTGTTCATAGTCTCTGAGGGCGTTAACAGTGAGGTTCTATTCATATCTTACCAGCTGTGCCGGAATATTCTCCAACTGTCAGCCTGTAGTTGTCCTCGGCGTCAGCGACGCGGAACAAGTCGTAGTTGGCGTATGCCGAATTACCCTCAAAGTCCGTGAGATCGACGCGCAGCTCGTATTCATCCTGCGCGGTTAGTCGGTGAAGGTTGTCGTTACCTAGCCAGAACTCCTCCTCAGGGTCGCCAAAGCCTCGACGGTATTGGGCAAAGTTGCGGTCAAAGTCGACTGTACCGTCTTTGCGCCGTTGGAAAACCTATTAAAATCATATTTATGAGACAAACTTACTGAGATTTCATTCCAGGGAGAAAATCTTAGCGTTCATTAATTTTGAGCGTTAATTGTGGTTAAACTATCTGATATTTTGCTGTGTTAAACTTTCCTTTCTTTTTGTGATTCAATATTGTGTGAGTGCATGACAGAACACCTTCATCAGAAATGCTCTCCAAGAGGAAATTTAAAAAGAAAACCTGAAAACGGATGCAGTGTATTGCCTGAATGACATCAAGGTAACAGCACCCTCTTTTGTCGGGAAAAGCAGGGATAATTTTTGAATGTTGAGTGTACAAACGAATGCCAAATAGTTTTTAGGCATTGAGGAAAAATACCAAGTTGCACAAAGAGTAAAATAATTACCCCAACTTTTAAATCGTCACCGACACCAAGAAATAACACTAAGGTCCACTCCACTATTACTTTGTGAAAATCGCTACGTAAAAAAAAATTGGTTTCGCGAAGTAACACCACAGAGCGTGCGCGCACACAGACACTTTTTTCGTTTACACATCTTTACAACACAGTTACCGAAACACAATTTGGAAAAAAAAATTGACTGGGATGTTGCTGCATGCAGGGGAATAGGGATAAATATCTCCTTCCACTTTAACAATAATAGTTGAAATTGTGTTCCTGATGGTCTTACCGTCCATCCACCACCATCAGTCTCCATATCGCAGTACACTTCGATCGCCCTTGAGAAATCCAGAGGTTGGACCATATACACGCCGCTGTTCGTAGCACCTCTCGCCAGTGCCTCTGAACAATCCTTCGGCAGTCCAACCAATGTCGCTGCCACAAACAAAGATCATGTATCGTACATGTTTCATTTTCTGTGTGCTGATTGACGCGAAATTAAAAAGTCCACTAAACTTGTTGACATTGGAGAATTTTACATGCGCACAATTAAAAGGATGCTGTCAACAGCAATTAGCGTAGTTGAATGTGAAAAAAGGACAAAAAAGAAATGGGAATAGGTTAATTCTAGGTCACATCTAGGTTTAAAAGATGACAAAAAGAATGCACAAAGTACAATGTATCTGTTATTTGATCTGCAAACATGTAGTGTGTAAGAGAGACTCTCTTGATCATTTCGACACGGGTTTAGGCTATATTATTACATTTAATGCTATACTTCAAGCGATATTGGTGATACGGTTGGATCCAAGTCTAAGAAAATGTTTGGGTTGAGCACTTTGCTTTTGTGTGGACGTGAGAGCTGCACTATGGACCTGTATTATACTATAGACGTTTCCTTAAACAGTAAATCGGATATTTCCAGCATAAATTCCCCTTGACTACACTCATAATTCCATACACTCTTTAGTGCAAATACTCATACAATTTTTTCCAGACTTCATTCCTGTTTTGTTTTGCAAAGGCCTATTGAAACATTAGCCTAAGTTAATGTTAAATGTTTCAGTTGAAATCTTTCAGTTGTTATTATTATTATTAGAATTCGTGCTAAAAAGTTACATCAAATGGACCCCAATGAAACAAAACTGAGCTGTCAGCATTAACCAAAGAACAATGTATATGGTTTAACTATATAGGCGCGTTTTTGGCAATATGCAAATATAGGTCTATGGCCCGTTGGGTCTACGGTTCATAAACTGAAAAAGCAAATAGGCCTTCGTCCTTTCATGATTATAAAATTCTCCCTATTATATCACCACTCAAGGCATGATACATGGACATGTCATTAAAAGATAACATTGGGAATTAATGAGATGGAAAGGGACGAGGAAGTTCCGGGATGATCTATATTCAGAAAAAGCAGTAGGGCCTACTTAAACATTCAGTATAGCAATTGTGTGCTTTGGAATGCGACCGCAACATTCCTGTTTTTACCGCAAAACATCACTGAGCAGGTGTGATTTCTCTCATTCTCATTCACAGAAGACATTGAAGGGCACCTTGACATAATGTTTGGAAGGACTCGGAGACTAAAGGTTGCAGGCCAGTAAATAGGTCCAAAATTGCCAGCGCGGACCAAATCACGATTTGCAGGCTGTCAAATTCTCTGCTATTAGAGCCTTTCGTGGCACGTGGACTGGGTGGTTTGTTAAAAAGGTGGATGAAATGCGGGGGCAAGACTGTCAGCTTGTATTTCTCAAAGTATCCTCCACAATGGCCACGGGCCTCTTGACTGTTTTGAGGGGTGATTTTCTCTGGAGAGAAATATCTTCAAAAGTCATCGGTCAAGCCACAGAAAATTGAAAGGAAAATGAAAGATGAGCAAGTGAGCTTTAATTTGATATGTGTCTTGAATACCTGTGAAACTTGTAGGTATTTTTTCTGAATTTTTAAAGTGGGGATATTTATCACTGTTGTCTATAGCAACTGATTTACTGGTCTAGACCCTATATTCGGTTTCCCTGAAGTATGACCTAAGGAAATGAGGAAGTGCATAAAGTACTCGTTTTGTCCTTGTTGGGGTTCATTTTTTTATTTGAAGTAGAACATGCTAAACACACCTTTACACTGAACAAACTTCATTTGTTTTCTGTGTGGATGTAAATCCGTGTACACCGGGGGCGAATCCATGATTTTCTGCTGGAGATGGGTTTCGGGAAATCTTTGTTCGTGCGGGTAGTTGCCACGGTTAAATTTAATCCCTTTGTTTTGTCCTCAACCGTACACACAAATAAGACTCCTACATAGTTTCTGCTATTTAGGGGTCTCCCAGCCTTAAGACATAGCAAGAAATCGCAATGGGTGGAGTGGGGTTGACCCTCCATCCCCATCCGTGCCTACACAAAGACCAAATGAACAAGAGAGAAAAATCAAAATAAAACGAAAACGGAAACCAGCAAAATACAACAAACATGTAAATACTCCAGAACTTTCAACAGACTTTATGCTAAAACAACCAGAACACCGTTATCTTCTAACTTTAAATGACATCAGTATTTGGGATATTGCATTAGCATAAAAGTCACCCTAGAAAAGGAAAGACGAAATCCAAAGTAGGCCTACAGATGTAATTCACAGATTACATTGAGAACACCATGTTCCTTTCACATTGGCCAAGGAGCTCTTAGCTTGTGAGCTCCAGGCTCTTCTCCGAAGGGGACAAACGTTCCCCTAGGTATGGTACTTGCCCCCGCACTCGCATGAACTGTTTGTCAGTCTGTGGACAAGCTTATCCAATTAACAGATTTTCACGTAGTTTTCAAACAAATGGGGCTATTTGTTGTAGTTGTGTTCTTATAATGACGTCACCACTGTTTGGCGGTTAAGTTGCGTGTTGAACAATTGAAACGCACAGTTTTGGCAGTGCCAAGTTTGGCACGATGGCGATCGGTCTAGCGATCACGTTGCGCAATCGATGTTAACCCTTGCTATGAGAATTCTGTTACTTGGTATCGACGTGTAATGTTCACACTACATTGTCAGTGTGGTCCCAAGTTGCGAAAAAAAAATTGACGAGCTTGCTCAGAGCGCAGACATCGCCGGATCACGCAGAACAACCGATCCTGCCCAACATGAATACTGACATTTAATGTGGGGGTGTGATGTAGTTATCTTAAAACAATGCTACAGCATTGCGCAACACTTGTTTAATGATGAAGAGTGATTCAGGCCCGGATATTACTTCCCAACATGACTGTTTTTGCGTTTACGCACCGATTGAACCCGCACTATAGACCCACCAGGCCTGACTGTGCCATGGGCTCAGTTTTGTACGCATTATGAACATCCACATTTCAGCATTTCAATTGGCTCTGCAAGGTTTTTTTTATTTTTTATTTTCCAGCATTACTTTGGTACCAGGAGAGTTTGTAGACCTGCACTGTGATTTAACTAAACATACCGGTAACCATGAGTTCCAAATTATTATTTTGTTTATATGGAGTGAACTGAATTTAACAAATCAAAAAATGGCTGGATAATTTAGAGCCACCTGTGTTTAAAAGCTGATGGAAACTTCCACATTAGTGAATAGAGATACCATCTAAAGTTAAAGGTTTCGACATCGGCTGCCTAGACATGAAAAGTGTTCTGAATTTGCGTGTGTGTGTGCTGGGGGGTCGCATGGGTGGATGGAATGGGGAGGTTACGTTTTCTGTTTTGAAGTGCTTCTTGATTGACTTGGTTCATGACAGGGAATAAGTGCAAAAACTTTTTGGAATAGTCAAGTTGTCTTTTTGCTGTGTAGTGCAGTTCTCATCAGACGAAGCCCGTTTAGCCCACAGTCAAGGTAGGTCTGGAAGGGACGCAGGAACTCAGTACGCAGGTAGGCCCTTCAAATACAAGCTTGCGCAGCGCTGTCATAAGCGCTTCGTAAATGAAAACTTTTCTAAAATTCGAAGTTTTGATTTGTTTTGGATAATGGCATTCCGATCACCAAGGCAATTCAAATTTAAGATGGGGGAAAAATAAGTCGAAATTCACTGTGTCCTTTTCAATTTCAGTCACTAAACGATCTTTTTTTTTTTCAAAGTTCATATCTGATTTCGAGTATGGCTTGTGAACATCTATAAATAAAAAAGATCCCGTGATATTTCCTTCGTTCGGGTTTGCCTTCGTTAACGGGACATAAGCCAGAGTCAACACTTGGATGATTGATGCTGAAGCATTTTCGAAGCTTCAAATTCTTCAATTCCCAGCGATTTGCGCAGAGCCTTTAATGCCAAACCAATTTTGTACGTCGATGACCCTGACTGCATTGCGGTGACCTGACACTCCGTATAGTTACAACAAAGGCATGATTTGTTTCCTGTGCTGGGACAATAAACAGACCTTGCCAGTGGCTTTTGCACGCGCAGTGGCAAAATCTGAGTGAGGGTACGGTTGCAGAGCGTAATTGTTAGACTAGATTTCGGGTGACCTGCTACCGAGATCGATACGCTAACAGGCTATCACATTACCGTAATTCAGTCACCATACCATTCAATTTAAAAATTAAATGGTACACGCGTGATTATGGAAAATTGACTTTCCTGGTCTGGGGATTTAATGAGTTTGCCGTATGCACCTACATTCTGTTTTCCTGGTCTATTTTGCGATAATCATTGGAGGCGGATATATCGGTATTATTTTTTATTTCCTATTTTTCCCCATATGGAAGCACGTAACATAACGAGTCGGTTCTAAACTTGCGGCTACAATGGGTTCCAATTTCCTGTAAAAGTTTCGTATATTCTCAATGTAGCCTACGTGAGCCAAAAGAAAAGGTTTACAACTGATACAAACTAACTGAGGAGAACGTTGACACGCTCAATTTGTACAGTGTAAAATGCAAATTAACTAGCCAAGGGGCAACCAAGGGGCGTCCTCCAAAATGAAACAGGAACTTCATCAATAAATTGAGAGTCTTACCAGGCACTGGGACCCCAGGCCGTTGAAATGCCTTCAAGACGACGGCAAGGTCTGAAACTGCCGAGTGAAGTTGCTGCAGTTGCTGCCCCGTGTTTCCACGACCCAGAGCATCACGGCAGCTGTCCCGAAGTCTGGCCAACTCCGACGAGATCATCTCCCGAATGGTGGAACAGTTGCAGCACGTCCCGGAGCTGGTAGAAGCAGCGGGCGAGTGGATGGTGATGTGGGGCTGACAGACAAATTTCCCCGAGCTTATGTCGTCATCCGTTCTCGATTGAGTAGCGGGTCGGTCCCGGTCATCTGTGCCGGGAGGCTGAGCATCCACATCGGTACTACTGCGGGTTGTGGTTCTGCTTTGGTAACGTCCTCTCGTCATGTCAAAATCTGTAGACAGCGGGCCTGACGTGTCTTCGTTCCCTGCCGGGATGAATGTACGCGGCCCTCTGGCAACATCGGGTCTAGCGAGGTTGTCCCTATTTGTCGAAGTTTCTTGCGTCTCCGAACTGTTTCCGTGTTCAATTTGAGATTTGGTCACGGTGACATACAGTGCAGCTAACAAAAGAACAGTTTTCACGTGTGAAGGGCCCATTTTTTGCATGAGATGAATGCGCACAGACAGCGATCAAGATGGCAACAGCACAGCTTATACCACTGTCTTCCTGTAATGTTTATAAACTCTACCAGGGCATGTGCGCAAAATCGTGTACTGCACAAAGATATACTCAGGAAATGACAGTGGTACGGTAGCCTCGACAAATCCCCCAAAAGTTTCAAGCAACAATACAAAAAATGAAAGGGAGGCATAGAACCCAAACTGGCACCATCCCATTTAACACATTACATTGTAGAAGATTGATTCGTGGAACATGATCAAACTGGCTTTCCTGTAAATTAGGTCTATTTTTAATTACATTATAGTTACAATTAGCAATAGTATTTTTTCAGTAGTAACACAGTCAACAGACTTGTCCACATTCTATTAGTATTAATTGGTGAAAAGGCATTCAGTGGTCATCGTACAGAGGAAGGTCCCGACTTCCTAATTCAATCGTCACACAAGTCCCTTGTCCAGACAGCGTATGAAGACGTGCCAGACCGATTAATACGACAATTGATAACGCCTTTTAAAAAGGAAGCCTTTAAGGAAAGGAAGAAGAGGGCACGATCAGGGAAGTGGGAAGTCACCTGCAAATATATTACGTCTAAGATCTCTGAAAACATTGTAATTGCTATGGGCCAACTAGAGGACTGTTTTGTGCATTATTCTGGTAACTCAAGCTCTGAAAGACAGAGAACTTTTCAAAGTGCTGTTTTTTGTTTTATTAAGCCTTCCTGTGCGCACTTTGCGAACAGTAAGCGAGCAAGCACAGAACCATTAACTTAATAATTATAGATCTCAAACCACATTTCCTGCCGCTCTGAATCCAGGACCCTTAGACAAAACTTTAGGGAAAACAAGGCCTGCCCGTGTATCAGTTTATTACACACGATTCCCTCGTAAATGTAATGACGTGATTTGAAATGTGATCCTGCAGGTGGAAATCATCTAAAGCCCTAACCGATTTCATGAAATTAACACATCTTCAGTGAGTAAAAAGGGTTGAGCGAGTGTAGCCGACCTAGCGGTTGACCTGGTGTTGGTGTGGGTATAGACCTTTGTGCGTAGATTGGACCCCGTACTACATCGACCGGGGTAGAGATGGAGATTGATCATCAGCGGTGCGTTTTTCTTGTACAATTACATATAAACATTCAGAGGTTTCAGAATCATCACCACAGGTAGGTGTCAGGTGTTTCAAAATATACCCTTCGCCCCATTAGTTTTACTGGGGCCATATTTTCTGTTTAGTTTGTATATCATTTTGTAGAAATATAAATTAAAATAAAAAAGTAAATAACTAAATACGACTGTTGCATACGAAGAGAAGGAAAGCCCTATAGTGCAATGGATAGGGAATTTTCAAACAGTGAAGTATCTTTTTGAAATTTGGTTTTCCGAAATGTGAAAATGAACTTGAAGAGTGTTATTTATTGAGCTAGAAAAGGTACATCTCATAAACATGAACAGTATTGTAAGAAACATTTTTGTTTAATTTTGGTAAAACGTTTTACGACATGCATAATTTTGAAGTTATGTTGATGAGTTTTGTTTTCGAGTTCGTTTTTGCGAGATACGTATTTTATATCTGATGAAAATCAACTCGAAAAAATACATCTCATAAAAACTATTTTAAAAACGTACATCTAAAACCAGTTACCTCCAAATACGGGCAATGTTTCTAAAAATAGATCTTGTAACAGTGAAGCTGAAAAATGTATCTCGTAAAAACGAACTCTGGAAAAAGTTACACATTGTAAAAACGATATTCGACAAAACTTCGGTATTTGAAAATATTTACTTCATGGCACGAGTGGGCTTTTCTTAAAAGAGGGTGGGCTTTGCCTGTCGCAATCACCTGGCAATCCGAGCCGAGTGGAACTGAGTCCTTGTGCTATCTCTGTTTGCTAAAGCTTGCCGTTTATTGATGTCTGTCAGTGGAGACACAGTTGGACTGTTTGAACGTTTGACGAGAATAATCCAACCATTTTGGATAAGGACTATATTGCAAAAAGGGGACACATTGCACAAGGCCTTTACTACGGGAGCCATACTAATAGCGTTAATCCTGAGCATTCCGTGTGTAGTGTCTGAGTACCAGACATCCAATGGAACATAATGGCTAAGTTTAGTGTTTATTCATGACTTTTTGCCATGATTGTCGTTTGCTTCCTTTAGTTTTTATCTCAAGGATGTTGTGTCAGAACGCATTTAGTAATCGCATCGAGTTGCAATGTGTTTTCGTGGCCCTTTCAAGGTAAGTCGAAGTTTGAGTTATGCTTCCTTGGTCTTTACTTACAGGCGTTGCCTTTGACTGAATGGCTCCTTACGGAGGGGGACACGGCAACCACTTTGTAAATTGTAGATGGGATCAATGTTGGGGATTTTATGAAAGCAGGAGCTGTATTGGCCCTTTTCGTTTCCTTTTTGTAAAGTATTTTTCCCACTTTCTTCAACGCTCCCCTTGCTACGCCCGCCGCATCCTCCCTCTCTCAGTTCAATGGTTCAGGTATAATGCGCTTGGTGTTACCCTGCGTGTTGTTTGATCTGAAAATGTCAGATACTGATGTACGTACGAAAGGGTAACAGCAAATATGAAGCTATCAAGCTTAAGGATAGGACGGAATCTTTTAGTTTATGTAAAGAGAAGAAAGAAACCAAAGGACAAAAACACATTTAAACAAGCCCAATTAAAACGAAAATGTATTAGTTTGTTGGGTCATCAACTAAAGAACGCTCCTAACAAAAGCTGCAAATAGATGACATAAATATTTAGTCAATGTCTTATAGAAAAAACCCCACGTTTTTCCAATACAACATGCAAATAGCCATTAAAAAATGTTCGCCCCTCGACTACTTTCCCCATTAGTGTCAAACCATCAACCTGGAGAACGGATCCATGGCTTTGACAGCAATAGCCGTGTAATCACATCGGATTTCCCAGACTTCCGCTAGCGCTCATGTTGGACAGATTGACACCAGAGCCAGCAGGTGGACGGACTGTGGGTCTATTGAATTAAGCCTCACATGCTGAGGGTCGGTCTGGGGTCCATTCAGGAAACACTAGTTCCTTTTTTTGTCAAGTTAACTCCAACTACAAGAGCACAGGTGTGCAGCACAACCAGCCGTGCGAAATTCCGCCACAGTATCTCGAATTGTTTCTTGCCACACTGCATTGTGGGAAAACTTCACCCTAATCATTCTATTCAAGGTCCAGTCTGTTCAGCCAAGGGTTCTGTTTAATTCAGTAAAGGATTTCTGACAGCATTTATGAGACGGAATGTCTTAAAACAAGAAACGTGGATATGCACCTGTGCCAAATAAACGGCCACAATAACGTGTTTGTTAGAATGAAAAAAAAATCAGGTGAACTTCCCTGTCTTTTTGTCGTGTCGAATTTTAATTTGAATTTTCCTATCCATGCACCGTGAGGCATGTAATATCTTTGGCAGAAGACAGTATCAGACTAATATCTCTGGCAGAAGACAGTATCAGAGTAATATCTTCGGCAGAAGACAGTATCAGAGTAATATTTTTGGCAGAAGACAGTATCAGAGTAATATTTTTGGCAGAAGACAGTATCAGAGTAATATTTTTGGCAGAAGACAGTATCGGAGTAATATCTTTGGCAGAAGACAGTATCAGAGTAATATCTTTGGCAGAAGACAGTATCAGAGTAATGTCTTTGGCAGAAAACAGTATCAGAGTAAACATGGGCAAGTTCGGCCAAGGACCACAATGAACCATAGAAAGTGTCCTTGCTCAGTGGTTTGACCGTCAAAAAGTAGTCTATTTTGTTTGGATATAGAGGTCTAGTCGACTATTTACCGTGCGACCAGCCTACACCTCACGAGGTATGTCGCGCCTTTGGTTGCCAAAGTGCAGAGAGGACCAGAAACAAGACAAAAATGGGAAAAAACGGGAAATGTAACTAAGTACATGTACGTCACTAGTAAATCATCAGTTTTACTTTCCTTTTGTTAGTTTGCCCTTCATACGGCCACTTTTTCTCCCCATCGACCTAAAATGACCTGACAACAGTTGCCTACACGGTACGTGGGTTATGGCCCGAAATTTGCCTGCGCCTGCGAAGCGCCCTGTATATGCACGTTATGACAACACGTACCCGTCAATAATTTGACACAAGGCTAACAAGGTTCACAAATACATCCCACGCTCCGGTAAAAACAATAGGCGTCACAAAACACCTACTCCCTGTACCTTAATTACGTCCTAACACGCACAAATCCCAGCCTCCGAGGTGTGGGCGTTAGGGGTCAACAGTAACGATTGACAACAGTGTTGGGCTCTGGTGATTTGTTAGGGGACTTCTTGGGTTGTGCTTGCAGGAGCTGAGCAGCTGTTTCTCAGGCCATCTAGAGCCTGGAATGAGTTACTGTTAAAACCTAATGCAACGCGTGCTTGTCAGTGACAGTGGAATTCTCTTGCAAATACCATGTCCTTTGCATGCCAGTAGGCTGTTGCGCGGAGGCGGCACGTTTAGCACCCGGCACTTAGCCTACATTGAGTGCCACGATGCTCTCAGAATCGACAAGAACGAGCTTGTACGAAAACCCTTGAAGAACTGTAACTAAAAAAGTTATCTTTGTTACTATCGCGGACGCGATGATGGCTTGTAGACATGTGACTGCTCGTAAATATATGGCAGCTTTGCGTACAAAAAAGAAAAAATAACTAAGGTATACAATGGACTCATGGAGCATTGGTAACATTCAGGGAAAAAGGCGAAGAAAAAAATTGTGTATCAGGTCTTCTTCAATTTGCAACAGTGACATAGTTGAGATGATCAGCGCTGTTGCATTGCCACCTATGATATGCCCAAAACAATGATCCCACGGTATGGTGTCCTGTTTAGAAAGGAATGTTTATAGAAGTCTGGTTGAGGGTTACTCCCTGTTAATACATCGACAAAGGAATATTTCTCAGAAAAAGTTTTTATACACTTCTCCCATCCCAGGCAGAAGTTTAACAACTTAATATCAAAGGGAAAACTTTTAAAACTAAATGTTGCTAACGGGTTGGGGATTAAAAAAAGAAATTCTTGTGCAGCACAGATTTCATTTGTGATAAGTTTATATTGAAACTCAGAGTTTGACATTTTTCCGATATCAGTCGAAACTGCATAAATTTATCGTCAAGAAACGCGCAATGTTGTTTTCAAATTTAAGAGAGAATGTGAAGCCATGTGCTTTTCAATGACAATAAAAATATATATGCAAACGTTAATCGCCTTTCTCGGAGCATTTGCAACCCTGTGTTACGAAATATAAAACTACCCTTTTAAAAATCCATGTCCTCGAGATGACAATGTCCAATTAAATTAAAGCAAACGGAGTTATAAAGAAATCCATTTCTCCTTCCCAGCTAACTTAAATTGCATCCCGTCAATAGCTTTGTCTGGTTTTTCAAGTACAGCGTCTTTTTAAAATTGCTGATAGCACACAGCCACGTTTTAAACCACTGTTCAATAGGTGAAAAATGCATTCTCAACTTGATTAGGATTGTCCATTAAGGAATCGGTTGATGTGCAGCTTGCAAAATGAACAATTGTTCCATCTGGGATAAACTGATGTGTGTTGATCGGTCTACGAAGATAATTCATACATTAGTTACGTTTTGGAAATGACAACTTCGCAGGCTGATCAACTTCACTACTGTTAATAGGTCCATGCGATGACATTTTGTGAAACACGTGTTTTGTGCTTCTAAAAACCTTGTTCAATGTATGAAATGAATTTCACATCCTTTGGGAAGTCAGAAGTAAAAAAAACCTCTGTAAACATTTCCTAAGACTTTCTGGGCACGGAGGGCGCTGTTACAAAGAGCATACAGTGCACTAGGGAGACACTTTTCAGTTTATATGTTTTTCTGTTGGCAAAGTGAACCCAAATATTGTTCATTGAAAAACATTTCTAAGCATGGCTTGCTCGTTGGCTTAAAATATCGCTCTGTATTCACACAGGTTTAGTTCCTTGGATAACAAAGAGTATTGAATATGAATATTTTCATTTTCATAAAACTGACAAGGTACCCATCCCTATTATATAGGTACCGATAGCTAGCTGCAGTGTAACGTATGCGATTAGCTCGGCCAATTTGGTTGCTGAATATTTTAATTTTTGTCAAACTAATAGCAGTGCTTTATGCATAATATGACCATTGTTTAGAATACGAGAAATGGGACTGATTATTCTATTTGAGGTTCATTCTTTTCAACGTCAATGTCAATCCTATTTTTTGGAGCAGATTGATAATTTAATTATTTCAATTCTTTGTGTATGCTGGAATTATATGGCTCTTTTCAGAGTTTGTGCTGCCTACTACTGTCTAGCCTGGCGCCTGCTATCGATAACTGATCATTTGGCGAACCTTGCTACCTGACACGTGGTGCATATAACATTGCCCCTTGGTGGTCACCTATGATGGTCCTTGAGGGACATCGCCCGGAAACGTCAATATTGACGTCAATATTTGCGACCAAATGTACGACTTGTATCTCCGGTTGCGAATATTGCCACAAATTTATTTCCGGCAAGCTAGGCGGAAATGAAGTGTTCACGCGCATGCGTAATGATCTACTGAAGTCGTTATTTGGCTGCAGCAGTTTTGGCACAATGCAGGGGGCACAACATTATTAAGCAATAACTGTGTCTACAGCCGAGAAACTTCTCTCTCTACCTAGCTAACTGGAAAATATATTGGCGTCAATATTCGTGACTGAAGTTTGGTTTGGTCACAAATATTGACGTCCATTTTGACGATTGGCGATGTCCCTCTAGGGCCACCATAGTCACCCGATGGTCGCGACAATAATATGATATATAAATTAAAAACAAGGTGGAAACACCAAAGTACATCTCTAAGAATTTGAGAAATTAATTGTATTACACGGATCCTGTAAATTGCATAAAAGCTAAGAATAATTCTTTGGTGGGCTGTTTATTAAAAAAAAAAAAGGTTTCTGTCACTTCTTGAGAACACCGAGGAGATGTAATATGTGATTTAACATACAACGTAACCATAGAATTAAGTTTTGTAAACAATGATACCCAAGATTTTCTCCATCTCTCTCACCATCTGCTTGTCAGCAAGTCCGGGAGGCAATACTTTTATCGCACAAGATTCTGTAGATATACTTTGTCCTCTATGCGAAATGGTTTTAATGCCGATTTTCAGAGGAGACCAGTCTTCTTGTTTTTTTGCACCTTACTTCTTAACAGAGAGTGTAGAAACAACCTCAGACTGTGGAACCCCAAATGGCTGTCATTATGTATGCAGTACACCATGCAGTATTGTGTGCCAACTCTTCATGTGCACTGACGCATGACCCACCATTTTTGTTCTAACAACAACAGCTCTGTTAGTTCCCTTTGAAAATCGAGAGCCGCCCTTTATTCGCGCCGGGTTTCCCGGCGTGTTATGTGAAAAAAGTGCTTCCGGGAGCAACCAATTTCATAAAGATGCGGGTTTGAGAATTTGAGGGCGCCTGCATGCCGAGCCAGTGTTTTGTATGGCTCTCTAGTATTGAAACCAGTGGGAAATCCTCTGACCCGAAATCCCATATCATAAAATTAAATGCTCATGGAGTGAGATCCTGCTATGCCGGAATATTAGGCAACATCAAACCATCAGGGATTTACAAATCCGTATAAGTAACAAGTCAAACAAGGAACATTGAGACAAAGCACAACAATTGAAAATGCTAATTGCTCACTAACGTTTATTTTCCAAAGGGTCTGACTCTAGAACATTCACGTGCACGTGTAATAGTCATCCTGAACTTAATTTACATGAACTTAATTTACATAAAATCTTGTACATATTTTTCTATACATATTGCAAATGAACACATTGTCCATTGTATAATTGTCGATTTACATATTTTTGTGAATTAGCATACAGGGATTTCTTGGGAATAAGATACAAGCATCTGTTCCGAACTAAAAATAATTCAGTTTTTTTTTGGTGAAACCTCGTTCATGAAGAATACATTAGTCAATAAGTATTCAACTGGCGGATACTTAATTTATAGCACCTGTATTGCTACACTTGCTGCCTGACTATTCAGTAATTAAGAAATGAACCTCGAACAGAACAAGGAAGCTCACAGTGAATATTTAGTTTGAGTTGTATGAAGGATTATCTAAGATTTCTAGAACGTGTGAGTGAACCCACTGAGGCTCCAAAACAGAATTCACGTATTATCGTAACCCCTTCAATAATTATGGTTTGCTTCCGGTCACGCACTACAACCCTTCCTGTTTTCAGACCAAAAAAATAAATGCTACACCTGCTTCTTAACCACTAGAATAATCATGTGATTAACTTTTCTTATCTATCACAACAACGACATTAAGACCAACATATACTGTTTACTTGAATATTTTGGGGTGCAAAGACAAGACTTTGTACACTAAAGGTTTACGGAGAAGGGAAAGAAAGTCAAACCAAATCTCCCATTGCGAGTCTCGTTTCGTTGTTTTATCTACAATAATGTGCCAGCACAAATAATATTGAAATAAACAACTTCGTCAGTATTTACAAGTATATCTTCAACTGGCTTCCAGATAGGAAAAAAATGCTTTGACATGTCAATAAAAGGGGCTTACATCTACCGCTGAGAGTCGTGACATGTCGTGGAATGTTAGCAGTACAAATTTCAATAATTATCGAGCAGATATGCTATAATCAATATATAACGGACATTGAACAAATGCATCGTGCATGTTGTGGACATTACTGGAGATCGTGGGTGAGGTACAGGTTTATGTGCGCATGTGTAGACATAAAGCAGTAAAATAAATTATCATAAAACAGAAACGACGTTCATTGAGAATTTCTACTTCACCGTTTATCTTTGCTTGGGAGAGTTTGTGTTCAACTTAATGTACTTTCCGTATTCCAGTAGCAACGTTTCAGTCGGTGCAAAATGCAGCGTAAGCACCAGCTGTATATAAATGATTTCCCAATGGTTTGTCAACAATTATACCCACCCATAGCCATACAATTATAAATACTCCACTAAAAGTGTAATGGAGACTAGATCAACAAAACTCTTAAGGTATGTATTTTTTTCTGGTTGAAATACTGATACAATCTTAAATGAAATTCGTGGAAATATAACGGTTATTAACTTGGAGGACTTATTGGTATAAGAAACTCACATCGCTGTTGCTAACCCTTTGTCCATTTGACAAAAATTCCTCCCTACCAATACCGTGTATAACTGCAAAACAGACGCCACCTATCTGACAGCACTGTTCGATATTCACTAAATTCCATTTGAGATTGTAGCATAGTAAGAATAATCCCGTCCAAAAGGTGTATAGCGCCCTCATGAACTCGTGTATCTTCAACGGCGTCCATCAAGCTATGGCAGTTTGCATGTCATGATCCGGATCCATCGTTTAAAAAAGTGTTGATGTAGTCGTCGAAATCGCTGTGAAGAAATCAAATGGTAATTAAGTTGTGGTTTATTTGGGGGGAAGGGTATCTTGAAATGTCTCGTCAGAAACTGCATGCCGCAAAAGGTGTTCACAAGTGTAAACAAATAGGCCTATATGCCTAATCGTCTTTCTTGAATCGAATAATCCATAGGTTTTACTTATATTCCTGTCTATACAACTATTAAGGTAAATCAGTGACAAATTTTTGAAGAAATAGAGACAAATTGTGCTTCAGAAATTGAGATAGATTTAGGTGTAACATTTTCTACAGAAAATAGATGAAAGCTCTATTTTATCCATGTTATGAAAGCCTGATTTAACAATGCTTGTAGTAAAATTACAACGCTTTAATCAGTGGTGTAAATCTGTGTCAGCGAGTGGAGGGATAGAGATGGACCAACTCCTACAATTTCCCGGCCCTACGAATTCGAAGTCCCTGCCTCCTTGGGTTGGGGTTTCAGTACACCACCTTAAACTGAGGGGCACTGTTCAATTACACAGACGTTCAACTTACTCATTCTTTTATGAGCTCACACACCTTAAACGTCCATCAGAACGTTCTCTGACATCATTTTGTTCTCCGTAATGGTCGAAGAGCTCTAAATAACCCCAATGTGACTTTAATAAGCAAAATGGGTGTGCGCGTGGGTGAAGGTGATCAAATGGCCAATTTCCCCACCAAAAAGTGGGAGATATAATGCCCTCGTCACTCGGGAGTGTGCTCATGTCGGTAATCAAGCAGCCATCGCAGTTCTTTGAATATTAAAAAACACAACGAAAGAATGGCATTTGTTTGCTTCTGTCTCGTAATATTGAAAGAATATATACCAGGTATATCATTCGGTTTGGTTCAGTTTTAACTCCTAGGGCATGGCATGGTTAGAATGCGAACCTTTTGACTTTGTACCTCGGAGTTCCTTTTTCTTTTCACCTACAAAAGAAGATGGCAGGAACTGGGAATTTCGTTGAAATCACTGATTGTGCTAGTGGACCTGGCATTTGAACGTGACCTGATCGGAATTAGCCTCTATGGCTCTGTTTATATTCGATATTGTATCATGGTATCTTCACCTGATGATTTATTTGCAGTACACGCTCTGAAGTTTCATCTGTCTGCACCACTTGATAATGTTCAGGGTGTCCATCATCAAATCAATGGATTTGGAGCTCGCTCGCTTTTCTTCACTGATCACACCGCTTCCTTTGCCTGCCATTCTCTATATACACGAAAAAAGGACAACAGTGGACAGGTCAGTCAGTGCATAGCCTATAATGTCTATTTATGCTTTACCCGCCACACACAAAGCCCTACCTGTCAAGGTGTACTGGTTAAAATTGAATTTAAACATCCATACATAGCGTGCCTGTAACGAGAACAGGGAAAATAAACAAAAGGTTGGTGGGAGTGGGCTGCAGCGTGACGTAAAGTGTAGAGTGAAATTTCGTTGACCATTTCTATTAACGTTAGAGTGTCGTGGCTTGACGGACAAACGACCCCAGTTTGGCTCCATTGGAACTGTTCGGCGTCATACCTTCGGATTTAAAGAGGCTTTTTCGACAAAGTCTCCCAGACTTACAGTACTCAGGAGAGCTAGGGTGTATTCCACTGGTATATTTTGCCGCTGGTCGCTAAATGTCAAGTTTTTGACCAAAGGTTCCGGAAAATATTGTCTTCATTTACCGCATTTGGCCATTAAAAGGCTAAACTGTACGGTCCCTGTCACATATTATAATAAGTCAACTCATTATGAAGCCAGCCATCTTGACTTGAAAGTTTGCCCACGAATGACGTAACCATTAACAGACGTAACACGTCGTACGTGACGTCGCAACATAATCACTTGAACAGTGAGACAATTTCCCATTGAAGGGTATACCACAAACTGTTGATTTGGAAGTATGATCTAAAAAGACAATCTCATGACGGCGCATATGAGGGATTTTTAGAACACTGTGTAACAAATGCCATTCAACAGTAACAAAATACTTATCCCTCGACTAAGGCATTGCACAGCTCGAATAAGCCTCTAAATTGACGGTACAGTTTCACTGGTTAGGTCAGTCTTGCAAAATTATGGGCATGTAGGCCTATCCTTTAGTTAGGTCTGTCTCAATTTAGACTAGATATTTCAGCAGCCAGGAGTTACAAAATAGACTTCGACAAGCAAACTGTTTTGACATGGCCATGAGAAACTTGACTAGCATGCCATCAGTGAAATCAAATTAGCCTATAACGAAGTTGGGCCTGCATACCACAACTCTTCATCGATGAAGCACCGCGCACTAATTCTAAGCTAATTTGAAAAATTGAGGCTCTTTGTGCGTCTGAACATGCCTAACTGATGGAAGTGCCATAGAAGGACTATATCTCCGTCTCAATGCACCTCTACGATTGGCGGAATTCGCCCATGACTCTCCTGACATGATATTTCCATTTCTTGGACGGGCCTGTGATCAACAGGCCAGCGGGGTCTGACGGTGCGCCTGATCGGTGATTGAGTACTTGCCGATCCGGCTAATATGCTCTGACGTCTGAAGTCGCGCTCCCACTCAGTCGTACGAGCACGACGCCCGCGGGGCTCTCCATAAAAGCCCAAACCGAAATGCTCGCGCACCGTTATTTTCCTTCATTCAACCCTGAGGATGTTCTCGAATCAGGTCCTGGTCGCTGTTTGTTTTTGCTCAGTAACCCTGACCGACGCATGGGCCGGCAAGCTCCTGATGTGAATGAGGAATCATAACAAATGACCGATTTTCCCCCATATCTGTGACTTTCATCGACAAAATGACAGATTTTGCTCAGACTGTCCGATATCAGGGGGTTGTCTAGGCAACACTAAACGTTCTGGGGTATTTAAGTTTGAGCTTCATTTAATTTCCTCTTAAAAGTGAAGTTAAGTATGTAGAATATCAACAGCTAATCCAATCTATCACTGTGTATTGAAACTGACTTTGCCAGGGGGCAAGAGATTTAAATAGCTCTTTTGAATCCATTACCATTGGTAATTAAACCTCTTAACTTCACATTAAGAGAGCACTATCTCAAGCAGGGAATGACGAATTTCTTATTTTCTTTCAGCATTTTCAATTTTCACATCTACTTTTCCTGAGAGAAAGATTTTAATGTGCTCTTGAAAGTGTTGTTATACCTACGCCACACCAAATCCTGTTCGTTATATCCCATTATTATTCAGCACGCTAGGGTTAATACCAAAAGTTTGTTCTAATCAGGTTTTAAATTCTTTTGGGGCTTTTGCAGAAAGCATAAATTTGCAATATGATCTGATATATAGTCAACTTGCGTTCCAGTTTAATTCAATTACATTTCATTTGTCACCAAGTGTCATCTTCCACAAGGTGTCACCAAGTGTGATTTTTCCCCAAGTGTCAGTCATCGTTCCTCAACTTCTTTCAGACAATGAATGTACCGGTAACAACTTTGGCTATCAATGTGTAATGCAGATCTAGAACTGGTATCATTTTCTGTTCTGAAAAGGGGGATTATTAAGCTTAGGGCAAAGTGTACTTCTCGAGGACACAGAAAATGGTGAGCATGAATGGGCCTTTTCGATGAAGCTACTTGTATTCGTTGTCAGACTAATAGCTTCTGACCCCTGACCTATCACTGAGCCACTCTACAGAACCTATCACAACTCTGGGATCGCTCTTCACCCTATCGCCAATGTGATTTTGTTACCATCACTGCATTGGATTTTAGTTTGAAACGTCACCCCAAGTCTCCATTAAACTCCAGAGTCATTAGTTGCACAAAGGGACATGGTATCAATGTCGCTGTTTTATTCATGCGATTTTAAGGAGAGACACAACAAACTTTGATTTTTAAAAAATCACCAATCTGTACCCAAGATAGGGCTGGATCCGGTAATCAGGTTGGTTTTTTGGTTTAAAAATTGAAATTTAACTGAACAAAGTATATCAAGACGTCCAAAGTAGTACCCAAAACTTAGTGTAATCAAACAATCAGGCGTCTGTAGACAATTGTGTGGGAATGGGGTATAATCGGGTTGTGCCTAGGAGACAGCGGATGGGTTTGCTTGCTTCATACCCTTACTAAACCCCTCACTGAAAACCCTGTGCATTTTACTATCAAAATCATATCTGTGAGTTTCACAGAAGTGTGTTATTACTGCACTGTTAGTTCAAGATTTTAGTCGGCGGATGTATGCTTCATGTGCGTATCTTTCCCCTTTTTCTGTAGTTGAAGTTTTGTTCATATAGCTTTCAGCAAATGCGTTTGACACCCCGAACGTTTTAGACATTTTCGAATTTCAAAGCTTTAAGTAAATAATGCTATGTTTCAAAACTAACTGGAACGTACTTAAAAGAAACGAATAATCATGTGTATGTTACTGGCTTTGTTCTTTCCCACAAAATGTGTCCCATTTACTTGAACCGAGAGTGCCGTTTCATGGACACAGCCAAGTACTTTAGGGCCAAAATCCGTCCACATTACCATACATACAGTGAACTCGCAGTTAGTGACTATGCTGAAATGCCCTTTGTACCAAGTGCCAATTTTTGAGGTTTCCCAAAGAGCTAATTATTTGTTTTTTGAGAGACAACCTCAGTCAATTTAATTAGGAAAGTGCAGTCGCATTAAGTGTGACGCGGGGATGGGTGAGACCCATTGGGAAATACTAGTCAAGCACAGGGCGCTCAAATTACTGTTTGACAGGATAGGCCGAAAGGCAATATTTAAGTCGCCCAGTTTAATTCATAGTATCTAACTCATAGTTTTAATACATTAAATTAATTTCGTGCGTTGTGTGAGTCAAGAACCATTTTTACGTGCAATTATTTATGAATAACCAATGTGACTTTTTAAACACAAGAGCAAATAAAATCGCACAAAATACAATAGCATCAACGATGACAAAGAAAAAACGGAATAAACACGAACGATGACGTGCAGGAATTCCTAATGTGTTCACGATGACTATTTGGGAACTCCTCAACTTGTACAGTGTTCATCTGAGAACGATTTTCAACGAAGCAATCTCTCAGTATGGCACGTAATGTTAGAAATGAGGTTTTCTCGATGCTTTCAGAATACCACAAATCAGCTCAAACACTAAATAAAAAGCCGTTTTAGCAAGGATCATTTTCTTTTTTCACGATACTATTATCCTCTTTTATACGCTCAAGAGTCCTTCTAAATTGTATATTTTAAACAGAAACGTATTCTCCTCCAATTTGGGGGTGATTTCTGTTGTCCAACAGATTTATCTTAGTTGTGTTCGCCTGGTGAGGCTGCTAATGAAACCATTAAAGGTCTGGATGCCAGTGTCATTTTTGTCTTCTGTCACAGCATTACTAATGTTAATTGACATGCGGTTCAAACATTGATCCCTTTGCCATAGTAACCGGAGAGTGGTGGGACACCAGACTAATTGATTTCGATTGGGGCGAGTCCAACCAACCGGACTTTAGGCATCTGTCAAAATAGCGACGGGCGTGAATTACAACAGTCATGAATTTACAAGGCTGTGTGGTGCTGTCTTGTTCAAGCTTTACGTCTTTTCCCCGGTACTGCCTCTAATAACTTAGACGACACCGGACAATGAAATAATATTGCTCTTCAATTTCCGTCAGGGCCTTGAGCCCAAATCAAATAAACGTCATTTCTTTGTGCAGGCCTTTTATTATGTCAACAACGTTTCCACAATGGGATTCTACAGATAATGGGATACGGAAGGTACACTTTGTTTTTAGTATTTCTGCCACAGACTGCCATGAATGTGTGTATGATAAAAATTCCAGTCTAGCATAGCCAGCCAACAAGGGATAATCCTTGGAAATATTTCCGGAATAGTTAACTACTTTGATGGGCAACCATCCCCGTCGTTGGTTTTCTCCATGCTCAAGTTCCCCTTGGGCTGCTTTTCCTTTTGAGGAATACAATACCCACATCACGTTCAGTGTGCGCTGTTATTTGAGGTTCCCTCACCGCAAAGAATTCAGGAACAATAATCATATGCTAAATGTTCAAGCCCGGATTCCTCAGGAGTCAATGGCACAAAAGCTGATGCTAAGACACTGATTGCGTTGGGCGTTCAGAACAGTAAATTCCTCATGCTTTAAGGGAAAACAAAGTCTTGCTGAAAATTTCAATTTAAGGTGAGGCGCATGGGGGGGGGTTGATGATGCCGGATGTAGAGGTAAGCTTTTCTAAGTCAACCTTCTCCCACAAAATAACAAAAACGTGAGGAAGTAAAACAAAAAATTGGACGGACTTGAAATAAAGGTGCAACGAAAACAAAATACAGGGGGGAACAAGAAAAAGGGTTTATGGAAGATTTTGTTGTTTGGAGCAACATTTCTCTAAATATGTGCACAGCCATCAAGAATTCGATAATGATCTCAGAGGATTTCCCACATAATAGAGATGTCTCTTTAATATATTCAAGAGATGTCTGTTTTATGTGCCTGCTACTGCCGCCCGGTATTTCTGAAAATCTGAAATGCGAGCTTAAAAATAGATCTCAAAATTGAACCCCCGAGATCCAGATGTCTTTTTGGTTTTGTTGATGCGTTGGTGTTATTTTTATTTCGGACAAATTTATGGATTATGTAAAAATAAGTTTTTATCATATGCCATTACGTAAAAAAGAAATTGCCTGAATAATTCCCCGTCAGGCGTACCCAAGACAATTGTTATTTTTGGAGCACAAAATTTGAGCAGGGCACTATAATTTTGACAAAATTGAAGAAAGTGACACTTTATTGTCTGATATGTCAAGACTTACAAATGTTGTTTGAAAGCGGGAAAGCTTAAAGGTGTGCACAATGATATAATTTTTGTGTCATTTTCTTGCCGTAGCATACAAACAATGCAGCCTGCAAACGACACATTTATAGGGATATAGTTGTATAGCTCACTTTTGGTTATAAGCAACTAAAACAGAAAACGCATTTGAAATTCAAACAGTAACACATGATTACCATGGGGTTTTATACAACATGACGTTTTTAACAGTTTGCAGCACAGCTGCGACTTTTTGAAGACTGGGTTATATTATTGCATGTGATTAAAATTAAATCATTGTAAGATATTTGGTAGTTTACTGTTGTGTACACCAAACACCAGCACGCGGGATCTTTGTTATGTAAACATACCAGTCGCAAGAACCCCAACGTGACCGGCGTTTGACCCAGAGAGGCGGGCCGGTTATGATTCACTAGAACTTTCTCTTTGTGTGCATCAGAGATTTATGGCGTTTTGATTAATAGTTAACTGTTTTGAAACTTACGTAATACAGGCGTTCCACAATAGCGGGCCTTCAAGAGTTTGCAACACGTTGGCCAATCACAATGCGCGAAATCTGTCAACCCAATGCGCGTTTGGAAGGATCTCGCGCATTGTAATTGGCTCATGTGTTACTAAGTCTTGGAGGCGCGCTAGTGTGAATCGCCCGTATTATAACAGTTTTCTTGAAAGTTCAAAGTAAGTTCTATAAAAGAAGAAAAACCCCATATAAAGTCAGCACTTTGGGAAATATGGCAGGATTGGGATTTGAAAAGTTCTCGACTTTCGTCGAAACTGCTGTAAGTCAGGACACGTGATATGCTGGCCACTCATTTGTGGGGGGAGTGGAGGAAATGCGTCTTAACCCAGGAAGTGCTTGAGAGCTAAGTCCAATCCCAGAAGAGACATTTTGGGAACTGATTTTTCAGTTCAGTATTTTCGAGTTGCCTATTCCCCATGTTTTTGTAACGAGGGTCAGCTTGCGTCCCTTGCAGTTTCGTCTGTTTCCAGCCGTTTGTTGGATGTGAATTCGCCCCGCGTCTCAGCCTGTTTTACACGATCAACTGTTTTCGCCATGACTAGAGTCGTCCTTCATTGCCCAAGTCCTCCCCTATATCGTCTCATTTATGTAAGATCCTGTATCTAATCAATTTTCGCTAGTAAACCTTATCAATCTTAACTTTTGTTGACAGTTTTAGAGTTTAATATTCTAGTTAAATGCTACTTGTTTCTTTGCTCTTGATATCAGGGTGAACTTGTTTTATTCCTTTTTTCATCCGAGAAATTTGGGCTTTTTAAATAATTTACAATCGCTGATAGTTAAGAGATTTTTGGATAGCAACATTTGTGTGGTTTTACAACTGAAGAGGTCAGGATTTGGAAACTGCAAAAATGAACATAAAGCTCATTTGCATTAACGAGTGGCTTTAGAATAACTCAAGAGGAAACATCGGCCGTACATTATTTCATCCCTCCACGAGTTTTTCTCTTTTTTTGCACAAAACATGCTTATTTGTCGACTTTGACCCAATGTAACAGGCGGTTGAGATTACTGAGTTACTATCAAAATGACTGCGCTGAATATTCCTAACAACTATCATCAGGATGTGTAGCTGAGTGAGCCCTAAGGCTTTTACTGACAGAGAATGTCATTAGAACTGTTTCCTTGTGACCAAGATTGCAGAGATCATTGAATTTACGTCGCAACATGAAAAGGATTATCCCTCTTACTATTGGCTACGTCATGTTTATTGACGTCAATATTTAGGTTTCCTTCCTGAAAGATGACTTGCCTGTAATAGTGTTTGAATCCGGCGGTTTTTGTCGACGTTGTCCTCGTTTTCCCAATTGGTCGCTCCCCCTGCTCGCCTCTCCATCAAGTCATCAAACTCGCGCGCCTGCGTACTTCTGCTCTGGAGTATGAGGATGAGGAGAGTGGCGCTGAAAAGGACCAGTATGGATGCCTTCATGATGACGGGCAAGATGTGACGGCTGACGGGCCTGTGTGTGCCTTTCCACTCGCTCTTGTTTGATCTCTCAGGATTAGTTCCTCCTGGAATTGCAATGGAGAAGCAAGGGATTGCGTTTACATTTAGATATGGGCTAGATGTCTAGTGTGGCTATTTAGATCGTTTACTGCAACACAAGAGGAAACCGACTCTTCTGTCAAATTTATACACTATGAAAGTGCATTTACTCTTCGTAATCATCTTCGCAAAATGAACGTTTGTCAACAGCAGGAACATACACCAATACCTCCTTCGAGAACATGCATTATTTCATGGCTATTCGGGAAAAACATCCTTTTTCAATTGTGACTTTAATTTCAGAAAATCGTGGATGTGACACGAAATAAAATTGGAGAAGTATAGCAAGCGTCTGAAAGTGGAACATTCCAAACATTTGGTGAGGATTGACTTCGAGATGGACTAAAAATACTACATGTATAACATACAGTGTACCCGAATGATAGGGAAAAAGTGGACAGGAAAAAGAAGATAACATTCAAAGCATAAAAAGGGAACAACGGTTAAATTAATACATTAAACATGGAGGTGTAAATAATTTTGAAATATAGTTCAATCTTTGACTATTATTTAAAGAACTAATTACATTTATTCAGTTGTTCAATTAATTAAACAACGGAACCTGTTTCGAAGCTTCTTGGTTCCAGTCGTTTGGGGCCGGTTTAAAACTTGTCATTACCACGAGAAACGGACAACTGCCTTCACAGGTATTTGCCCAAGTCCATTCGATTTAGCAGGATGCGTGTCAACCTGGCGTGGTTGTGCGTGTGGGTGCAATATGCACAATGCTCTTTCCTCTCCCTTTGCGCCGAAATTTTAAGGGCAAATGCCGGCTCGTGTTCTGTCGTGAGAAGCAGCGCATGAGCCTTGTGTTTATTTTTCCACTTAAAAAAGGTCTGGTAGACGTGGGTTGGGCCGTATAGCCATGCCCCGGCTTCCGTTATCGCAGAGCGGAAGCCGGACCGAAGTTTGATCGGAAGAGTGCCGGTGACGTCAACGGGATGGAACCTATTTGCGGCTCTTAACTCCACCTCAGCATTTCCACTAGGCTTTAAAACTCTACCACATCTATTCAGAAATGTTGAAAGTTCCATGTTCTTCCTGTCCAACTTTTCACTATTTAAACGGCAGTCGGCTTCCTTTAGGCGGTATCACCGTTTATGTCTAGAGAAAGACTCATTGATCACCCGATCCGACTACCCACCGCTACTTATAAGTGAGGCCTATGCAGCAAAATAGCCATGCTCTATCTGTGATGGTAATATAATATCGTACGATGCAATACCGGTACTGTAGGCAAACTTATAAGTGAGGATTGTTCGAGCCTTCTGCATGCAAACTTTCGTGACGCTGACCTTCTGCGTGCAAACTTTCGTGACGCTGACTAGTCTCACTTATAAGTTTGCCTACCGTATCGCATCATACGATGATAATAATAATACATGTACTAATTACTAAAAGCGCAAATTTCATATAGATATGTTCAAATGCGCTGTACAATGAAGACATTAAGCGAGGAACAATGAATACATTTAAACATGGTTGAGCCGATGGCACACAAGGCTTCCTTTATGATATATTAGCATCATAGTTGTTGCGGCTATTTTGCTACACATGCCTCACTAAGTAACGGTGGGTAATCGAACCGGGTGCAACGACATACATTCCTTGTAGATTCGTTTATATTTTCCTTGCATGCATGTAACGAGCTGAATGATCGTTTGAGATTATCCAAAATAACTGTAACTTATTAGCTTAATGTTACGCCAAAAATGAAAGCCTGCTGGAAATGCAGTAGCGTCAGTGTGAAGTATGCACAAACATTCATTTGTAGCCAATGTAGGCATGACACACGGTTGAGAAACTTCACATTTAAATTGACTTTTGGTCTAGTTTCAAAATCATTAGATACAATAATACTTTTTTTTTCAATTTTTTTCGGTACCCGCTGCTTCACCTGACTCGGACCGGCCAGCCGACCCCGGCAAGCTCGGTGTTCGAGTGGTGAAGACGTCTGCACTAGTAAGCAGGAGGTTGTGGGTTCGAGTCCCACCCAAGTAAGCTTGTGACTCTTTTTCGCAAGCTTTCGGACAAGCACTGAGCATACAATGTTTATCAATATGTACGTTGGGCAAGGGCAAAACCTGTTATATAAACAATAATACTTACAGGTAAGACTTTGCCAGTACCCGTTTTTCTTGATTTTTTTTTTAGGGGTGTGGCTGCAATGAATATCTCTTAGGCACATTTTTTTTGCAATTTTCTGCTCTTTTTCTATGAAAACTCTTTTACATTACTATTTCGTAAAATGTTTTGAAAATTATCTGTGTTTTCCAAGAAAACTTAGGGCGCAGTTGTTGTAATGCCATGCAGGGAAAATACATTGCTCTGCATAAGTTTTCTGTTCAAATTATGAACCCAGAATTTAATCACTGAAAACGTTTCTGAGAATTGGATTGACGCCTTCTTATTGCTGTGCACATAAACAGCAAGGAATCAGCAATGAAGTGAACATTTAGTCTAGAACATGTACAAATGTGTAGAACATTTTTGGGCGCAAATCAGTGTAACAGTGAGAGTTTCTTCCTAGGATTACATCACAGTTTTGCTCATGAATGTGGAAATACACATTAGCATAAAACCAAAAAGGCAATAAATTACCCTTTGAAATATTGAAACCGAAGGGGAAAATAAGGTCAACTGAGATAAAAGGTGTATTTTGAAGGTCTGTATTGAAAGAAATTGACTACAGCGACCCTTTAAGGTGCGAAAAGTGTTCGCAACGTTTAACGTTCTACGTATCCTATTTTTGAAATGGGAGATATTAAGAGAAATATTCCACGAGCATGTAGCATACAATGTCACTCGAATAGAATAAGTTGATGTACCAGCAAGCTCTTTTAAATATCTTATTGCATAAACAAGTGACCTTGGCCGCATCACGATGCACACTGCCGTTTTTGAGCGGATTCATTGTTTACTTGAGTATATTACAGCTATTTCTCCGAAATTTCCCATACTTCTGAATATATTAGCACCAAATATCCGATTTTTGACAGATGATTCACTCTGTTCCCTAGAGATATATCAAATTCAATCACAGCGCCAAATCTTTAAAGATGCCATTCTCTCTTTGTCTCGTTTCCTTTCTTGCGGGTAGGTAAATATGTGGTACGCTGGAATGTATATGGCGCATTTAAAGAGCCCTTGGATATTATAATTGCCAAACCACTCATCATAGTGAATGGTTGCAGAGAATATTTTTCGAAATACTCTGAGAAGAGCACTAGCACGAACCCGTGCCAACATCATAATATACTCCCCCACAGCCATTACACGCTTGAATGAGTGACTCGCTATACTTTACTCCAGTGTAATGACCAGTGTATAACGTCCATTAAAATACTACAGAAGCCCAGGGGAGCTGTGGGGGCGTGCTACATTGATAGGGAGAAGAGACATACTTCCTTTCTCCGCTGATGGTGGAAGCACGTTTGTGGTATTTCGGTCATCTGGGAATCTGAGTTCGTTTACTTAATAGTTTCTCACTGAGGACGGAAGAAATTATCAGTTTTGTGTTTGAATGGCAGGTTGATTTGTAGTAATTATGACTTCAAAAACATGATTACGATTTCATGACAATCAACAGATTCTAATACTTTTTCAACGAATATTTTGAGCTTGGAATCATTTGGGAAGCTGAATGTAAAACGTTTAGTCTGTGAATATTGATGATGGCAAATGTGCCTTCTTATCCAATTATACAATGTATTTTTACATTTGTGAGTATACGTATTGTTCTCTTACAGTAATGCCAAATAGTGCGGAATTCTATTAAAATTTACATATGCCTACAGCAGGAGTCTGCAAGATCTGCAGTGCAAAGTATTTAGCGTTTTCCTGACGTTTGAAATATCAGTCAACTTTGAAAATTCCATTTGAAAATGCACTTATAACTATTAGGTTTCCTATGTTAGATGTGCGTGAACGAGCATCTTTTGTGTTGTTTCAGGCGTCGAATATTGCGTCCTGACAGGTACTGCTGTGAATGATAAGCTTTCCAATACCCCAGCAGTCCGATTATTTCTCATTATATTTCCTTGGAGTAGCTCTATATGCACTTGTTGGCAACTGAGCGACGGGTAGCCCGAGCCCTCAGAAACATGTCAGTGGTGAGATTGATAGGGTTCACACACAAATCCGTGGCGGCACAATGGGCAGGAACGAGCCAGTGAGTTTGGATTCTGTTAAAGGTGACCATTGAAATCTATTGAGAATATTGTTGATAACAAGACCTGTAACAACCCAACATACATCTTTCCACAGTGGCACACCTAGGATTTGTCGTGGGGAAGGTGTCGGACCGGTGTTTACCCCCGAAATAGCTCATGGTGCTTACCCACGATTACGCCACAAGGGACTGGGATTTACAGCTATGTCAGAGAGTTGTATCTTCGCTTTTTCAGAAAAAAAACCTTGAGTGCGCGCATTTCGACAACATGCCGTTTTAACTGCAGTTTTATTCACGGCGAGTTTCCATAACTCGATTGCCCTGTCTCCTCTTCCTTGGTCGTAATTTGACAAACAGTCCCGCGTCCACGGCACAAGGGGATTGGTTAGTGGTGATGTAGCGCCAAGACACTTCATGGAACACACGTGCGTGCCACTGGCCATCACCGCAAGTTTACAATTGCCGCCAAAGGGACACCGTGAGTTGCTTATCGCTGCGGGATCACCCAGTAGTAATTGTACAAGTAAACCTCAGATTGTGAACAAACACACAGTAGACTCAATTCTCTTTTATCTTGGTAAACCATCAACAGCGCGCGACGCATACCATTACCAACGTGGTCGATTACTTACTGTCGATATTTGGAAATTGTCAGCCTCAATAAAGTATGACCCACATACCTCGATGCGCAGCTTGTGGAGAAAACGTATTCTTAAGGGTTTCAACAGAGTAATAAATCATTCAGGATGGGCGTATTTCGTTATACATTTAAGGGATAAAGTATACGCTTCACTT